AGCGAAACGCGCGTCCAGTGTAAAAGTAAAAGTGTTTTGGTGTATTGTGGTGATTTAGTGTTTTTATTTTGCTCGGAGCGAGATTCATGACGTCACGCTAGTTAGATACTACGGATTAATTAATATGTTGTAGAATACATGGAAAACATAAGTATTATTCCTCGTATTTTTGGTTTGTATTTTAAAAATGATATAGTTTATAAAATATACACAATATACAGTTAATAAATCAGAACCTGTTTATAGTAATAAATACTTTGGCAAATAAACTATGAACCCTACAAATGTAGCAAATGTTTTACAATATACAAATAATGAATAGGTACATAAGTTAATTGGTAAAATGTAAAATATATTTTAAATTTTGGGGTTTGAAAATCGATCTAATTTAACAAAAAACATTCAATACCTACTAATAGTGATGTATTATTATCTGCATTCACAAAATGTATACTATGTGTATTTTGCAAGTATCAATGTTCGAAAAATTATATTTGCAAATAATACAATATCATAGAAAAAAAGGCGTCAGCGATGGCTATGAAATAAAGATCGCTGTCATTTTATATGTAAAATTATTCTAAAATTTTTGATTTTCTTGGGATTTATGTTCGGGAAAAACGCTGATTAAGTTTTCATTTGGTTTTTCATTATTTTTATTTGGTTTAAAAAAACGTTTTGGCTAACATTATAGCCTTCATCAGTGTTGTGTCATATGAAAAAAATAGTGTCGAATATAATCCAAAAAAATACATATAAAATATTCACACCACACATCACATAATATTTACTGCTATTAATAAACTAATATAAACTTGTCAAAAGATGACCACATATTTTTTTAAATTATTATTCTTAACACTAAAACTATCTACATTGACTATGGAGTACGATTTCAGCAATAGTTAATGTAGATAGTTTTAGTGTTTTAGTATTCTACAACATACTAGCGCAGCGTAACGTCATAAATCTTGCTCCGAGGCTGTTCTATTAGAGACGGCATTGCGTCAGCATGGCCGCAAATTGCTACCCTAAGGAAATTAACACTAGAAAAGCCCGCGGAACTGCCAAATTCAAAGTTATTCGGTTCACAGACTATAAGACCCATGATTAGGTAATCATGTAGCAGTTGCTTGGTAAACAAAACTAGAGCAACGTACGGCAAGGCAAAACCTGTGCAAAGTACAGAGACTGGCATGCATCGGCATCACAAGTGCCATGAGAATATGCCCAACAGCAGCAATGGAGGTCATCCTAGACCTAACCCTAACACCACTGCATATTATTATTGTCGTGTCGGTAGTTGTGCCAACGCGACAATAATTAGAATGGTCATTGATAGATTCAGTACTGGGAGAATTTTCAGGTCATGGACTTGAAACACCCTCAAAATCAAAATTCTACTCCTCCAACTCCTAGTGGATGACAAGATTGAGCAATAAGAAGGATTGAAAGAGAGAAAAGTTTGCTCATCACATAAAAGACCATACCATAACGTGGTATACTGATGCTTCCAAAACCAAAATATGGACAGGGATGTTTTTGGACCGAAAACTAAATATTCTGAACCACTAGGCACCTACCCCAGCATATCCTTCAAGCAGAAATCTACGCTATCCAAAGATGATATCCTTACAATTTATCTTAGATAAGAACTATCGAAAACAGGAAATAGCCATCTTATCCGATTGTCAAGCAGCACGAAAAGCGATCAACTCAGTAACCATCACTTCAAAGTTGGTCAAAGAATGTCTAGAGAAGCTGAACAAATAAGGCAAAGAAAATAAAGTCCTCATACTTTGGGTGCCCGCTGACCAAGAGATAGAAGGCAATGAAAAAGCAAACGATCTAGCTAGAAAAAGAGCGAACACTCCTCTAACTGGACCAGAACCGTTCTGCTTTCCAAGCGGAAACCAGCTTAAAGCGGAACTGAAAAACCTGGAGGAGTCCATCCGTAACCTGAAATGGGAATCCTCCAACGGTCTAAGATACTCGAAAAAGTTCCTCAGAGCATGCGAGCGAGAAAAATCAAATATTTTCCTTGATTTAAGTAAGAACAATCTTCGCATTGTCTCTAACAGGACACTGTCTCCTCAATAGATTGAAGCTGAGAAACAACGGTGAATGCAGATTCTGAGGGGAAAATAGGGAAACACCAGAACACCTTATCACTGAGCCAAAACGACAACCGCTCGTGCCATAAACTTTGGTATGGCTGATGTCGAAGATGGGGAGCTGGACTCTGTGGAGCCGTCTCAGATACTGACTTTTGTCAAAGCATTGAGATTGTATGATGAGTGATACCCGCGATAACTCACGAAAGGGGAACGCACAATAGATCTGTTAAGCTGCGTCCTCACTTTCAAAAGCAAACCATTTACTTGCATACACATCCTCCGTACCAGTACCAGATTTCTTGCTCTCCTTTATTTTTTTTTCACTTCTTTTGCAAATTGACTCTAGATTTTTTATTTTTTGTTCTACCGCTTGCTTATCGATGTTAAATTGATTAGCAATTTACATAAGGGCATCGTGTCTCAAATTTCTGTTCTTATAGTTTTTGGTGCCTTTTTATGCCTCAATAAAGGCGATGACTTTACCTTGCTGCCATTCCATTTCTTCAACGAAAAAGCACGACTACAATGTCAAGTACCCAAGCCGTCATTGTGTATAACAGTTTATCGAATGTCGAACGTCGAAAACAGGTCCACACACTAATGTCGATCGACTGTTCTTTGATGTTTACCGACGGACAATGGAAAACAAATCGACATGTAGATCGATTAATTCTGTCGATCGACACCGTTGATTGCCGCGTACACACCAAGTCGACAGTATCGATAGACAGTGTCGACTCAGTGAGGACGCAGCTTAATGTTGCGGTGATTAAGCCCCCTGCTAAAAATTCTACATTCTACATGACCAAAAGCAAAGACATGGTTTTAATGTAAAAAATACGAAAAAATGTTAGTGTCTTCTTCAAAAGCGAATATTTCCTATAAATATAAAGCTATTGAGATAAATCAAAAACAAACCATCGAGAAAAACCACATCTAGATGATAAATTGATTTTTAATTCCTCGCATTGTTAACGTACTCCACAAGGTGTTTCAACTTTCACCAAAATATCAACATTTTGTTTTCCCTCGTATGGCAAGACAGATGGCAACTATCATTTTTAATTTAGAAGGAATTACTAAAAAAATTGCTTACAAATAATCAAAATCGGTCCACTAGAACAGAATATTATAAAACTTTAATATACAAGAAAATTTTAAGATGCCCGCTTTTCGTGCGGGTGAGTGTATTTTCATGCATGATTCACAAAAACGCTAACATCTCAAAATTACCCCACTTTTTATTAGGAGGGTTGAGGCTAACTGAAATGTTTCACAAAATCTTACACGATTAATAAATAATTTATTTGAAACATGCCGATTTTTATCCACTTAATCATTATAAGTATAATTACGGTATAATTACGATAAGCCATCATAATAAGCCAAGTTTAATTGAGTTTTTATATTTACCTTACCAAGCATAGAAGAACTGAAAACACTATTCATGTGTACCTACTTAACCTACTTTGATTTTTCGTGTGACTTAATTTTATCCTATCTAATAGACACGATCGCATGTGCCTTTTATAATGGCAGAAAAAATCGGGGGAAATAACATTAGGATTTTAATAATTAATAATTTTATCATTTTTATTGATTAATTTAATTATTTGAATGTGAAATTTATTGTTTGACTAACTTCAACGAAAGTTGAAGCCTTCATATTAAATATTTTAATAATGAAATAGGTACACGTTAAAAAAACATTTTTGAAGTAATGAAATATGTTAACTAAATCAACCTAGACAACAAACAAAATATGTAATATACAAAAAACCATGTGAATGTGATAAATTTTATATTGGTGAAACATTTAGACCCTTAAATGTTCGAATTAAAGAACAGAAAAATTATTTAAGAAAGGAAGATTTTTGCAAATGTAAGATTTGTCAGCATTCATGGAAAAGTAGGTAGTAGTCTCCTAGACTAATGGAGCTACATAGAGAACTACTACTACTAGTACTACTACTACATAGAGAACAGCGTAGAAAGCTCACTGTACAACAGCGTTTTCTCCGTCCGCTCCATCTGAAAACTGAAGTACCATGAGTTTATATGAACGATTTCACATGGGTTGCGTATACTTCGTCCAGATGAGCTATATTGAAAAAATATCCGCGCGTACGGTCCGCTCCATCTGAAAGCGCTGTAACAGATTTTTCGGTACTTTGACTAAAATCGTTTATCCGCTGTATTAATTATATATTTATATTTTAATAAATTAAATACCGAAAATAGGCGTCAACTCAAAGGCAGTTGAGAAGACGAACTAAGGAATGCCGAGATCTCCCGAGAGCACCGTGTATATTTTCGCGTGACCTCCTACTTAACGCTTTCACCATAGAGAAATATAGAATCTATTGTGTATCTTTTTTATTTAGTTTCTCTGTGGCTCTCGTCTCCTTTGACTCGTGCTGGAGACCGCCTCTAGACCAAGCGGTCTCAAGACGAGGCGAGAGACACCGAAGCAAGACGAGAGCCCCAAGTACACACTCGCTTTGTCTCGCCTCGGGTCCCCTCGGCGAGCGTGTACTTGTTACAAAATGTTCACACTGCAAGGTGAGAGGGCCCGAGAGCAGGCGAGAGCCCTAAGTACACACTCGCCTCGTCTCGACCTCGGGTCGTCTCGGCGAGTGTGTACTTACACCATAATAATATATACATAAATAAATAGGTACATTTTGAAAGTTAAATATGTCAATATACTAATTTATGTCATAGATAATATTTATGTCATACTAATTTGTCATAGATAAAAAAAGAAACGTTCATGAAAGCCGACTATTCTTTATATTCATGAAATATTTAACAACTACGTTAATGTTAACATACATCTATCAAAATTGCACAGACCTATAAATATTAAATGATTTAATTTACCTTAGGTCGTCAACGGTATCGCTTTCGATAACCTTTAATTCTTTCTTCAACCCTAACCTTTCCAAAACATTTCTATAAGCGTCTTCATATTCAGTGTGAAATTCATGGTCACCTTCGAGTTTTAAAACATGGTCTCCAGGAATTCGTCTATTTATGAATAACGTCTAAAAATATTTTTTTCTCTATATAATATATAATAAGAAAATAAATAATTATGTCATATTTTTCAAAATGAAAGGGTTGACCTGCGGTAATCCGACAAATGCTTAGTAATGCCGTACGAATTCACCGAATTTATCGAATTGTCGTTCAGATCTTTTTGAAAACGGGTTAATTAAAAAAAAGTGTTAAATAAAAAATACAGAGCAACAGTAGGTAACAAAGAACTGGAAGTAATTGGACCGTTATCTTTGTTCATATTATCTTTGCATTTATTTATTTTGATACATCAATATCTAATTGCCGGTAATTTGAGACGTGTTTGTTTAATATCAAATTATTAATATCTATGCGATTGCATACATATTAATAATTTATTAAGTTCCCCTCTTTCTTGATTTATATTTTATATTTTTTTTCTTTTATTATGGTAACAGTGCCAGTCGAATGCTTATAAACTGGTCACGATATTATTGTTGAAAAAGCCATATAATACAAATCCGCAAATACCTGCAAACCCGTTAAAAATTTAGAAACTCTTTAAATATAAAAAATATTAACTTTCTAATTCTGCGTCTAAAAGAAAAATAATACACTGGGTGTTGCATTTAAAAAAATTGATGTGTTATTCTGCTATTCTTGGTGTTTAGGTAAATAAAAAACTAAGTATTAACAAAGTAATATGAAATATGAAATAGAATGGCAACACCGCATAGTGCTGGAAATAAAAATAACATACTATATGTAGAATTTTATGCCAGCATCCAAATCTGTACAGAAATATTAAAAGAAAATAAAATATAACTTTTTTGACACACCCTGTATACCACAAAATATTTTAGGATATGCCCCTTTTGTATTTTAGGATATGCCCCATCTGTATAAAACTTTTTTTCATATCTTAAACAACGACGACCGTATTTGACTTCCTCGCGCTAACAGACCACCCTGTATAACATTAATTAAAATTTAATAAACTCTTTGCACTTACCAAATCGGGAAAATTTTTATCGTAACCTTTAAATTCTCTTTCGTACTCGGTCTTAATATCTTTAAATGAACCATCTGGTAAACGGAGATTGTCTTCTGGTAAAATTAAATCTGAAACAATTAAATGATATTAATTGTACAGTTCAATATAACAAACCAACAAGAACCAACATACGTTGCAATATAAGGCTGTGATTATATTGAAGCTGCGATAATAAGACAAATTAATAAAAAAAAATACGCGCCATCTTTTATTGACAAAACATTAATCAAAATCGAGAACAAGCAACCCAACCCAACCGAACCAACACACAATGAAGACAAAAACACATATATAAAACTTCCAATTCTACTTGAACCTCTTATCATGACTTTCATAAATGTGAAAATTAAAAACTAATATTAATCATACTTACATTGTTTCTCAGCTTAAGAACAAAATGAAGCAAACTTTAGCCTCCTTGTTTAGAAATAAGAATAATGTACTAACAAATTATGATATGAATATTTATAATTTGTTAAAAATTAAACAAATGTTTAGTAGATTAAAGTGTAATTAAAAGAGTTTTAATAAAATTGATCCTGTATTATACAAGGTGTCTCATATACTAGTATTATATTTAAAGGTTGTATTGATCGTATTCTATGATATTTTAGTATACGAGTGACTAAAGGCTTTTTAAAAAAGTTGAGCACTTTATATACCGTATCTAATCTTAATATCTATTTGGTGAGCGATTCTACAGAGAAAAATAAAACAAAAAGTTTCTATGAATATAAAAAAATACTTCCCGAAAAAATTACAGCCCTCAAAATGTTAAATAAAAATAATATATTTTGTTTATTTTTAATAAATTGATAAAATGTTTTTTTTTAATTTGGTACCCAACTAGCATCTATCTGACTTCGAACTAAATATGATCTGAAGCGACGTTAGACTTTGTGAAAATTTAGGTCGGGTGCTAGTGATACGACCGGTAACGTCGCGTCGCTTTCCTATTAAAAGCGACGTCGTTGGATCCGAGTCGGTAAATACAACGCAACGATCTCTCGACGTACAAAATAACAACGTATCATTTTTATTAATTTCCCAACATCGTTCCCACGTTGGCTTGCACGACGTACATAGAGTAAACGCCACAAATGTTTGGGAGTGATTAATCGCTTGATGAAGTTAGAATCGACACGCGCGCTGTCATTTTTACATTAAAAACGTAAATTTTTACCGCAGACGTAGGTTTTTAAAGGCCCGGTCTAATCATCTGCCTGCGCTCCTCCTACTTATTCTAAAATGTTAGGGTTATAGACGATACTATATCGCGTTTCTTCGATTGATTCGTTTTTGTGCGTCAGTCCATTGGTGTGCTTGCAGTGCGACCAATGGGGCATTTCATTTTATATTTATAACCAATATATGTTTTGACAAGACTTTGAAAATTAAAACAACATATTACAACAGATTATATATTGATTATTATATGACTTGAAAGACCACGGCACTGGAGTTAAGTTTTATGTGACCTTGAACAGATTAGTTCACATGGTAGCGACCGATGAATCACTCCCAAACATTCGTGGCGTTTACTATATACTTGAACTAGCCTGACGTCTACCCGTTGTCCGAATAGGATACGTCTCACTGATAATCCCTAAAGTAACGTCCAATTATATTTTGTTGTATTTTATGTTCATATTTATAACCTAATTTACGTATCTCTATTTACGTCCGTAAATACAACCCATTAAGTAGCATTTGCGGCCTAATGAACATCATGAACATAACCTAATAAAAGTTTTTTGTAAAGAAACTTAATTTTTTTATTATGCCTAAAAACACTAAAAAGGCATTTAGACATTCATCTACATTTTACAGAAAGAGGTCGAGACTTTTGCAAAATAATAATAGTAGTAGTGATGTCTTGCCTCCACCCACGAATGCTTTTTATCCGGAAGAGATGCTGCATTACACTGTAGGTACTGGTTCCAATTCTTTTATATTTTGTATATATACTATCTTAAAAAAGTGGCTGCCCATATTTTTAAGGAGAAAACAAAATCTAAAATATAATTGCACAAATCCACAAATCACTGATATGCAAAGTGAGATTACGCCTACGAAACGGTTAGACCAAACAATTGACCTATCATAGACCAATAACAGACAACGTCGGGAATCGTTTATCAGGAATACGAAAAATGATATGCTCTGTGGCCGGCGACGGATGCTCCTACGTATGCCAGCCGATCGCAAATTTTACGTGGCATACGTTGGAATTATATACGTCATAATACGATTGCCGGTCGTCCGGTGGTTTGATGACTTCGGTCGTGTGAGACGAGTAATGTTGGAGACCCGGTTGGTATTGGTATATTGGTAGTTCATATTAAGTCGGACACAGAAATCCGCCATTCTTAACAAGTATCCGATTGTCAGCCATTTTAAAATCGTTTTTTGTTTTTAAAATTTATATTCACATTCCGATTTCTAGTAGAATAATATTAATAAGGTTGAGTTTGGAGGGAACCACAGTACAGTTTTATGATTAAACTAGCTAGAAAATAAAAAAAAATATTTTGCGAGTTACTTTTTTATAGATATTTTTATTTCATAAATCTATTATTACAGTTGAGGGTTGGAACCTTTGGTGTTAAACAGCAGAATAAAACACTAAATCACCACAATACACCAAAACACTTTTACTTTTACACTGGACGCGCGTTTCGCTAACCATGTTAGCATTATCAGCAGATAATTATAAACTAATACCTAATAAATATTACAAAAAAATAAAATGAGTTTATAATCATCTGCTGAGGATGCTAACATGGTTAGCGAAACGCGCGTCCAGTGTAAAAGTAAAAGTGTTTTGGTGTATTGTGGTGATTTAGTGTTTTATTTTGCTTCATAAATCTACCTAATTTTAAAGGCGCTCGTTGTTTTCCGGAGTATTTTAATCAGATATAGAAAAAAAGTGACTTCCGTTGACAAAACTGATGTCTGGATTAATGATTCAGAATTATTATAATATGAAATTAGGTAGGCACTTATAGTTATATTCGAGGAGTGATTATGAATCCATTTGTAATTAGGTAGTTATAAAATATTTATCTAACAAGTGTGTATTCTTGGTAGCGAATTTGAAAACAAACGTAACGTAAGTGCTTAGCGACGAATTTTAAGTAACTGAATTCCAACGTAATATGACGTTGGTAATTGGTAGAATTACATTCCCTATTAGGTCAAATACCGACGTCGAGGCGACCCGAATCTGTATTCCCATTTAGGTGCAAATAAGTGTCGTCAGGCGATCGAACCTATGTTGGTACCCGACGTCGGGTTTATAAGGCGACGTATACCCCACGTTAGATAACGTCCAAATGCTACTTGGGTACCCTTTCAGGGCTGTTACGGAAGTTTACACTGTCGCCATTCGCTTTGGCATTAAAATGCGTGTAAGAGTACCAAATTTCAGGAAAAATAGTTTACCAATTCTTAAAAATAAATAAAATATATTATTTTTACTGGACCTTTCGAGGACTGTAACTTCTTCGGGAAGCATTTTAAAAACGATCATATATAATTTATATACAAACACAGTATACAAATATCTTAAAAGTGTATTTCTATATATATGATCTAGGGATAAACGTCAAATTTTTGTCTATTTGCCCAAAAACTTGAAAGAAGAACACGTTTTTATTCTGTTTCGGCCTAGACATATCCTAAACGAAGAAAGGAGGAGGAGCTTAGGCGGTTTACAGTCGGCTCCGCACGACTGCCCCCGATACTACACGAAAGTTTCGAGAGTTTGAACCAAAAGACATCTAAAATAGGTAGACAGAACACTCCATTCATAAAACTCAATTTTTTACAATCATACATGGTTTGACACTTTTATGAGAGTTAAAAAGAGATGGGTACATAAATATGACAACACGGTTGAGTTTCGTCTGTCTTTCTGTCATTTCTCTCTATCAGTGGCGTGACGGTGGGGTGCTGTTTTTTTATCAAGATTTGTAAAAAAGTTATTTTAATTTAAATTTTAATTTGTAATATACATAGTAATATATAATGTAGGGCCGTTTGCACTAAGTTCTTTAAGCAAAACTTAACACTACGTATAGCTTATTCTCTTGCACTATGCTTTAACTCTTAAAGTTAAATTTAGCGGTCAAATTTCCAGGCTAGTGTCTACTTAACCTGACTTAACCACAAACAAATTGTTTTATGTGGAAGCATTATTATATTCTTTTGAGAAAGTTAAAAAGTGTATTTTACGCGATACCTCTACGTAAGTACGATGGATATTACTAGTATATTCTAGATATTATTGAAAATGGATTTCCTCAAGAGTGGATGTAAGGAAGAATCATATTTCGAAGAAAATGAGCCCCCTTGAGTTTTTAGGACATTGAGATTTTTTAAAAGACACTGCAATCTTTAATTGAACAAAATATAGAATATCAAGACAGGTAAGTACCTATGTACACGCGATAAAGATGCAGTAAGGAATGCCAGTAAATTGAATGTAGAATAAATTGTATTTATACTTTTGAACCATCTTTCTTTACTGCTTTCAGAAATAAAAGCACAAGTGTCTAAAATCAACTCATATCCATTAAGATTCTACACTTCAGGTGGTCATGTGCAGTCTACAGATGTTTTTGTGAGAATGGATGTTTCTACTACTTCTCATATTGTAGCAAAGTATTCCATGAACTTGCACTGCTTTACCCATGGCTCATAAAAATGCCCGAATAAGTAACTCTAATTTCAGAGCAGGAAAAGTTTTACAGTATGTTTGGGTTTCCTCGGATTATAGGGATAGTTGCTGGAACACAATGTAAGAATACATTCACGTGGTAAGTACCTATATGTTATATTTTCTTCAATATTCATCAGCACAAGTTTCTTATACTTTACTAGGTACAGGGGGTAATGATGGAGACATATTTAGAAATAGAAAAGGATTATTTTCCCTAAACATTCAAATTACTGGAAATGCTAATCTAAAAATTATAGAGTTGAATGCTCGTTGGCCTGGGTCCTTGCATGAAGCTACCAATTTTTGGATATTTAAGGACCCGCTTTGAAACTTGAAACTGGTAACTTTCCAAATTAAATCCTACTTGGTTAGTGGTCCATATACTTAGTGTTAGATCATTTATATATAATAGAACATATTCCTTAAATTTGAGTAGTTACTAAATTTAAAAATATATTATCAATAAGATATATTTTTTGAAAAATACATATTTTTTTTAAATGTAAAAATCTTCAAAAGGTTAATAGTATACTATATATTTAATTATTTTTATTATCTTTTATAAGGTTATAGTGCATATGCATTGAGGGAATATATGCAGAAATAGAGGTGAAGAGCTATATCAGACTCGACTGGTTCAGACAAGAAATGTTATAGAATTATTAGAATATGAAAAGGCCCCTTTTCAATATGTGCCTTATGGTATAAGATACAACCACAATGTCTGTTATTGTTGCAAAAGTGAGTTAAAAATCTGTTTATAGATTTATAACATAATTTTAAAATTTTGATATACGTAACTTAATTTTTTTAGATTTTGTTGTTTCAGATTGATACACAATATAGCCAGATACATTAATCAGAGCCGCCGCCATTAGATGAAATAAATATTGAAAGTATGAGAAGAAAGAATATGAAAGTTATTTTAAACATGTTTTTATTTTGTTATAAAATCTTTTGGGTATTAATTAATATAAAACATCACTATTAGATTCTTAGTCTTTTATTCAGAAATAGCATACATTACATTTTTATTACAATATATATGTAATAGTCCCATAGTGTATTCCGTCTTTTCATTAAGATCCTAGTCACTTAATGAAATTAACTAACCTAACCGAGGCTTTATGAAGTGACTAGGATTTTCATAAAAAGACGAAATACACAATGAGACTACGATATATATGTTACGGTTAAAGTCCGATGTACGGTTAATGTCGACATTAACATATTATTAATGTTTAGGTTAGGCTATGTTTTTGGTTGTTTTGTTGTGTGTTATTCTCGAGATTAACCGGGTAATATCGACAATACCGGACATCGGATCTTAACCGTAACATATACACCAATTAAAACTATTAAACAAGTTCTCTTGAGAAAACTTACTGTCCTTTTTTATTTCAATGTCTAAAAGCAACGCTTTTGTTCTCAGTTTATGTTCTCTGTTTTGAGAAATACTACTTTGAATTTTGCCTATTTCCATATTACCAAAGAGCAGCTTTTTATCTAGTAAATTATATTTCTCTGCGATATTGTAGGCAAGAATACGAACTACTGCAGCCTAGACAATAACTTTTACTATTTTGTTTTATATTCCAGTTTTTTCTAAACTGTTGGTCGATTTTTGCATATTCTGGATGATGGATGTAGTTTACATTTTTATTTTCATCATATATCTAAAAATAAACAATAAATATCTAATAAAATGTATGTGACATTTTTACCTATTAAATATTAAGACAAATACGAACAGCTATAACCTAGCGATATGCTTTGTTATGTATTTGTGTTATTTCCCATATGGAGTTTTTAGTTCATGCCACGTTTTCTTGATTAATCTAAAAATATAGAGATAACAATAAATATATAATGTAATGTGGTATGTAATGTAATTTGTGTATCCGTAAAGGTCTGATTTCCTAGCGACGCGACGCGACGTCTGGCGTCCGCGATCCGCCGCGCACTGGTTTGTTTCCCTATAAAGCGATACGTTTCTTTTCATTGATATACAGGTTTGGCCACGTACGTTCCAAAAACGAGCCAGTGTGTGGCGAGACATGGACGCCAGGCATCGCTAGGAAATTGCACCTTAAGAAAGGTATTTAAGGAAAATAGTTTCGTCCTATCGATCACACATGTACAAAAGATATTCAATGTCAAAGTTCGTAAATATGTTTTGTTTACGTTTTTCAACAAAACAGTAAGTTTTATTATAAAAATAGGTGAGAAGAGATCATACGATTATCTATAAAATTTTCTACACTTTTTCTCCTAAAGCTCGAAACGTAATAGGCGGTCGCGATTCTGTCGCATCGTATACACACCGGCAAAATCGGTGCCGGTACCGGCGCCGGCTTTGCACCCGTTCCGACAGTTGTATTTAATTCTATTGTATTTGCCGGTCCTCGACTATTTTACCGGATCGGAGTATACGTGAAGGAGCTAATTTATTTATATTGCAATCGATTTCAGCTCCGGCTTCGGCACCAATTTTGCCGGTGTGTGTGCAAGCGCCCTTATTTTGTATCTTTTCCTACTTTTACCAGCTAATCGATCGGTTCGATAGTCAAGGAATAGGATACTTCATACTTCATCGAGAAGCGACAAGACCGCGACCGTCTATGCATTTCTGTTTTTAGAGACACGACCGTTTCTAAGATAAAACAAATCTAAAAGTAAAAAAGCATTCTTCATAAAGCTACACGCACACTGGTGCGAGCACGACCGCGATCACGATCAGGGCAGCGATAACATAAGCGATCATTCTAGCACACACCAACGCGTTCACCTTCACGGTCGTACCTATATGTAGTGCGCCATCATGTAGGTATACATAGGTACAAATTAAAAATGTGAATTATGTATACCAAAAAAAAACATTCTCAAATATTTACCTACAATATTTAAACTTAAACAAAAAAAATGTATACATTTGTACTCTCCAATCCAATTGCAACTCCAATTTTGTTTTAAAATTTTCATTTTTAATTCTATTATTTTTGTAACTTGGATCGGATAAATCATATAGAATTTTGTGTATTTTTACAGCCTTAATTAGCTGCTCTGTTAACTCCATTTCTAAATTGCAACAAGAAAGAACACACAAAATAACGGAAAATTTCTATCAGTTGGGTCGCGATCAAACTCGACAAGTTGAATCTGATCGCCACCGCAGAATAGAACGCCGCGCCGCGCCGCCAGGCCGCTTCGTCTCCAAAACTCGATCGCGCCAATGTGAAACGGCTCAAAAAAAAAAAATGTCTCACGGCCGCGGCTGCGTGGAGATCGTGATCGCGACCGTGATCGTACCAGTGTGCGTACAGCTTAAGCACACGTTTCCACGCCACCTGTGAGGTAGTGTACTAGGCGCGCTTTTTTTAATGTGGTTTCCCCAGTAGGCCTATTCCACGATCTATTAATCTAAGCATACGTATCTAGAAGGTACTTTTGGGGCACCACTGATAGAATGAAGAAAGCGAATTCTGTTGTAATAATAAATTAGATCGTGTGGAATAGACTTAGGTATTCTTTTCAAAAACTTCAGTACAATGAAATAAATCCTTTTTCTCAAACATTTTAAAACCGGATATGTATCGTAGCAAGTTATTGCGTGTAAAAATACGGTTGGCAAATGCTGGCACTTTGCGAAAGCATATATATTTTTGATGAATATATTTCCGACTGATGTTGAGCTTCCCAAGGTTTTTAAAAATAAATGTTTTTTTCGGTTGGAGTTCGGCAGTAAGACATACCAGTAAATCAACGTCTTCACCAACAACAATAGTTGTATGTATTAATTAGAACTATTCTATTACTGTTTTAATTATTAGAGCATCAGGATTATTATCACCACAATCAGGATTTACCTACATAATAAGAATTCAGGGCTATGCATGAAACTAATATTTCACTTATGAAAGTTAATAACAATCTTTAACGTGCCTCCGATAGAGGCTGTAATAGTCGCTTAATCCTTCTGGATTAAGAAAGACATTCTATACTCTAAATCAGAAAATTATTGTATTCTAAATTAAAGTACTTCTGTTTAGACATTTCTTTGCAATTAATACTATACTATTTGCGTCAGAGATATCAGGAAATAGTATTTCTAGACCAAAAACTCTCGATATTTTTTAATATCTTCCAAATTACATAAAGTTAAAATTCTGTGAAAATCTTATTTTTTATCTTTTAACTGAGGTTGTCCACTGGATTCAGGGCTATGCATGGAACTAATACTTCAATATATACGTTTTATAAGTGGTTGTCATATTGTTGAAATTTTACTTGGATGGCTAAAGATGTTATAGATATGAATATACTAGAGTATATTACCGTATACCGTATAGGTACATACCAGATTACCAGGATCTCATATCGGGCGAAAAAGGTTTTTTTGTTTTTTTTTGTTTTTTTGTTTTTTTTGTTTTTTTTGTTTTTTTTTTGTTTTTTGTTTTTTTTTTTGTTTTTTGTTTTTTGTTTTTTTGTAAGTTTAAGTTAAAAGTTTTAATGTGTAGGCCTAAAGTAGTATTTTATGGGGTCTCGTCTCTTTTTCGACAAGACGAATCCCCAAGCAAGGGCTGAGTCTCAACAGATCGCAGCATGGTAACTGCTCTATCGAGTACAACACCCTGCCAGAATGTAAGTTGTCTACAGACAATTCTGAGTTCCGACATCGAAACAAACGTTAATACCCATAATTGACCGCTGAGCGGTTAGGTCGGACATGGCAAGGATCGATCCAGCCGCCGACCGGTTACCGCACGCGGCAATTAGGGATCGTGCGACGATCGACGCGAACGTCAACCGCCTATTAAAGTCACATTTTGAGCCTTTTGACTCGCGAAACTCCAAGATATAATAGTTGCATCTAGAAAGGATACAGCCTTAGAGGTGTTCAGGCATAAAATCATAGGGACGATAGCTTCACACCATATATTAAAAAAAAATATTCGCATGATTCAGACCCACAAGATCCACCCCCTTCTAATCTAGAATCCATCAGTCATCGTAATTTTTTATTCATTTCTAAATAAAATTGTTTTTGTATTAATACTCCTAGATCTACTGGTTTTGCTTAAATCTAATTTTTTTATTGTTTCATAATGAATTCTTATGTTGAAATACGATTTTAAAATGAATTTTGAAATGAAAATTGGGTGTTCTGAAAGCACTTGGTCGTCATAAATATGGTCCCCAAAAGTTTCAAATACAGAACTGGGCAAATTATTCAAGGTCTTAATTACTAAAATATCCAAAAGATTTTTATTTTTCTGATTAAAAATTCCCTGAGTAGTGTTAAAAAATCTAAAAAATTTTTCTCCTTCTTTGCAAACCTCTACTACAAATTTAGATGCTTTTACGAGCCTACCATATGTTTTCCTTTTCTGTAACAGAGAAATTGATTCTTCACTTTCTAAACAATTCAGACATTTAGAACAATTAACAAATTTTTTTAAACCTTTCACTACAAATCCCGATATATAAGATACCACATCTTCTGCATAACAAGTGAGGTTCCATGCATCAGACATCAAATAATTTTCCTTAATATTATCTTCGATTGACTTTAAATAGTTTTTATATTCTTCTGTTAATTCAAATTTCCCCCCCATTTCTGTTTTTAAAACCCTTGGTTCTGATCCGTATGTTAATATTGGAATGGAATCCAAAGCTATGGCGTTTCCAGTTTTAGGTGCCCTAATTTCCGAGTGGACCAATAACCTTTTATAAGCCGCCTCGAACTGCCTAGCCGTGGGATTATTATTATGCCCTCCTTTACTCCTCACAGCTCCAAAAAATAATTCAAGGTGATCCTGTGAGAGTTTGTAAGTCAAAATATATTTTAGTAATTGTTTTTCTTTGACATAGTATCTATACATAGATTGTAAGCTCTCCATACAAATTAGGAAGCCCAAAAATCCCGTTTTTCTTTGCGACTGACAGATTGGCCTTCCTTTTAAAGTAAGTCCAATAATATAAGATTTAATTA